TGGGGGGGAAGACTTCGTGCTATTTCCGTGGTCCTCTTTTTACTAGTTCATGGCATTGGCCCTCATGAATTAGAATCTATTTTGATAATCTAGACAGAGTTTCTACTTCGATTTTTTTTCCCAATCTTTACCACAATTTTGCTCTTTGATTTGAAAGGTACTTTCTTTTTTTAAGTTTTAAAATGTGGAATTCTATTTTTAAGCTTTCTTGTCTCTTTACGTGCTGGAGGTCTGATCCAGAAAAAATGTTTAGTAGGTTCTTGCTAAGTTGCTCGGACTCGGGTGCGGGTATCTGATATGGGTGTGGATCTAGAGGTTGAATCCAACATTTTGTAAATTTTAAGATTCATGGGTACGGATCCAGATAAAGGTCCGGGGATTTGGCTGTATCTTAAATAGATCTATAAAAATATGCCTAAATCATGAGACATTATGTGGAGAACGTACATGTAGCATGTAGAATCCGTATTATTCTCAAGTTGTAGGTAGCCATCTAGAAATCCACAGTAGCTTTTGTCCTGAGAAATCAAAATGCCAAATCTTTTCTCTAATTTTTCCTTAGGTTGTGGTCATCGGTCAAAGTACCAATGTTTATTGACCATATCCGGTACGTATCCCACACCCAAGACGTTTGCAATAGCTTTTGTGGAGGACTAAAATGGGGCGATGTTTGAAATACTCTTGTATATTTTAGTCATGTCTTGCAGGTTGTGCGTGGCTGTCTAATGCTTTCAATAAGTAGCGCATTGTAAATTCTTGTTGGAATTTAGATATCTACAATTCCACTTCATGAAAGTTTTTGTTTCTCACGTTATAAGTAGTATTTTAAAGCAATTGCCGAGGGGATGACTGGGGATGACTGACTGGTTCAGGCGTATAAGTGACAACAGGCTAGCAACTCGAAGAACCAAGTTTTATATCCCAACTACAACACTCAGTGTGAGAGAGCCCATCTGTACCAGCTTCCATGGCAGGTTTACCCTTGCTTGTGGGAGAGGTGCGTGAAGCTGTTTTGGACGCAAAAGAAATTACAACTTCCTTGAGATATGCATCCTATGTCTGTAAATATGTGAAGCTGTTTTCATCTTTTTCTTCTTTAGCTTTAGCTTAGCAATATCCCAGTGGCTTTGTTTGCCTTCATGTTCGTTTTCTTTGCAATACTGATTTTAAAAATGTCCATTGCCAATGCAGTTGGAAAGTCAAACCTGGTACCCTCATCGGAAGTATTGAACTTTGCAAGCAGGCTGCTCTCAGATCTTAGGACGAAGGTCTACAGGAACACGTTAAGGATGCCTGCTTTAGTTTTAGATCAGGAGAGGACGATGTCAAGGTTTATTTCAAAAAATAGTCTGGTGGAAGATCCCTGTGCTGTTGAGAAAGAAAGGTCTGTGATCAATCCATGGACGTCAGAGGAGAGAGAAATTTTTATTGACAAACTTGCTACCTTTGGGAAAGACTTCAGGAAGATCGCTTCTTTTCTTGATCATAAAACAACTGCTGATTGCATAGAGTTCTATTACAAGAATCACAAATCAGATTGTTTTGAGAGAACAAAGAGAAAATCAGATTATTCTAAACAAGCAAAAGTTTGTTCTGCAAATACCTACCTTGTTGCTTCTTCTGGGAAAAGATGGAACCGTGAGTCTAATTCTGTTTCTCTTGATATCTTAGGTGCTGCATCAGCAATTGCAGCTAATGTTGAGGATAGTATTGAAATTCAGCAAAAGTGTACGTCAAAGTACTCAGTTCGAATGGTCACTGAGCACAAGACGTCCAGACACAATGAGTTGGAGAGGTCAAACAGTCTTGATGTATGCCATAGTGAAAGAGAAAGAGTGGCTGCTGATGTTTTGACTGGTATCTGTGGTTCCTTATCATCAGAAGCTATGAGTTCCTGCATTACAAGTTCAATTGATCCCGCAGAAGGAAACCAGGAATGGAAGCACCAGAAAGTGGGTTCATTGACCAGATTGCCCCTGACTCCAGAGGTTACCCAGAGTGTTGATGATGAAACCTGTTCAGATGAGAGCTGTGGCGAGATGGATCCTACTGATTGGACGGATGAAGAGAAATCAATCTTCATCCAGGCTGTGTCAGCTTATGGCAAAGATTTTGTTATGGTATCAAGATGTGTTAGAACAAGATCCCGGGAGCAGTGCAAGATATTCTTTAGCAAGGCCAGGAAGTGTCTCGGACTGGATAAGATTCTTCCTGGACCTGGTAATTTGGTGAGGCAGGATGTTAATGGTGGAAACGATCCTGATGCTTGTGTTATGGAGACTGAGCTGTTTTGTAATGAAAAATCAAGTTTGAAGTTGAAAGAGCTATCTGATTTATGTGTGAGTGCAGGGATTTCAAAGCCTGATATGACCAGCTTTGATGATAAAGATGGGGCTGGAGAACTGGATTCAGTAGATACTGAACTTGTGTCAAAGAATTCAGTTCAGGTAAATTGTCATGTGGATAAGCAAAGGGTGGAATTTAACAGGCATTGTGAGATTCATATTGGTGCTTGTACTGAAAATGGCCGAGGGGATGAAAATATGGTTACGGTTTCTCAGGAAGGTGGTGTTCAAATTGATGGAGATGTCTCTGAGAATGGTCCGGCTGACATATTGTGTGCCAATAAAGTTTCTGGCGAGCATTTAGGGGAAGAAATAAAGGAAGTAGTGCCTGAACGTGATTTTAAAAATAGAAAGGCAGATAGCGCTGAAGTAAGTAGGTCAAACTTCTTTTTGGAAGATACCGCGTCCAGGAGTAATTCGCGTCTTGCTGCTGTTAGGGGAGGTGAATTGTGCCCTCTTAATGGATCTCAGAATACGACTCTTCTGGAATCTGATTCTGAGTGTAAGCCTGATGTCAATTACTCAGAAAGCAATATTTCAGTTCAGAGGAAAAAAATGCCTCGAGCTTCTAATGCTGTTTATTTATCAGAACTAGAACTTGAGAATGTTGGTGATCAGCAGCGTGAGAATGCTACTCAATCAGCTGAGCAGCCCTTGCCGAGTACCTCACAGATAGCCCATGTTGATTCCAGGCAGATTCTTGGCAGCTATTCATTGGGGGAGTCAGCCACGAAGGAGAGTGGAGATGGCTGTAGTACATCAGCTGCATTGCAAGAAATCCAGAAAGTGGGTAAGAATCTACGTTCAGATACGTCATCTACAACTGGTTTCTTTTTCCAGAGGTGCAATGGTACTAACCGAGAACAGACAGTAGGAGGTAGCTCATCAAATGTGGATAAACCTTGTAGGAATGGTGATGTGAAATTGTTTGGACAGATTCTCAGTAAACCATGCCCTCAAGCGAATACCAGTTCTAATGCGCAGCAGAGTGATAGTAGCAATCAGCAGTTGAAAGTTTGTAGCAATATGTCCAGTGCAACTCACAGTTTAGATGGGAATTCAGCCACTGCCAAATTCGAGCGCAATAACTTCCTGGGCTCTGAGAATCATCAAGTAAGAAGTTTTGGTTTCTGGGATGGAAATAGAATACAAACAGGGTTTTCTTCGTTGCCTGACTCTGCTATCTTGCTGGCAAAATATCCTGCTGCATTTGGTAATTATGCGATAGCTTCCAGCAAAGTGGAACAACAGCCTCCTTTGCATGGGGTTGTGAAGACAGCCACTGAGCGGAGTTTGAACGGTGTCCCTGTCTTTCCANCTGTCTTTCCGACTAGAGATGTAAGTAGCAACAATGGAGTAGCAGCAGCAGATTATCAAGTGTACAGGAGTCTAGATGTGCAGCCTTTTACTATAGAAATGAAACAGAGGCAAGATGCGGTGTTCTCTGAGATGCAAAGAAGAAATGGGTTCGATGTGGTGTCCAGTATGCAGCAACAGGCAAGGGGTGTGGTTGTTGGTAGAGGAGGGATTCTGGTGGGAGGGCAGTGCACCGGCGTCTCTGATCCGGTGGCTGCAATCAAAATGCATTATGCCAAAGCCGAACAATTTAGTGGGCAAGCGACAAGCATCATCAGAGAAGATGATTATTGGTTAAGTAAGGGGGACATCAGCAGGTAGTTGATCGCAAGGGAGGCCACAGTGGATGGTCTCCATGGCAATTCTCTTTTTGCCACAATGTACAATAGTTTTTGTAATTTTAATTCAGGAAACTTATAGGCAGTAGACGGTAGCAGTTGCCGTCTTTTTGGTTACGGAATTCTAGGTGTCTGTAATATTTGCCAGTAGCTTTGTATTTGTTGTATTTGATGGAAATACAGCAATAATTTATCAGAAGCTTGGGAGGTGGAAGAAATTTATCTTACAATGTTTTTCCCTTCTTATCTTGTCCTTACCTACAGCTACATGTTTTTCTTTTTGGTGTTTGATATCATTATTAAGTGGCTGCTGATTTAGTTCGGGGGCTCGTTGGGGTGGTTATTTCTAACTGCAGCAGAGGATTACAAGGAATGTTGACTGTGGAAAGAGAAGCTTGTCTCTAGTGGATTCTTTTCACTTGGGATGATGATTGCATTTGGATAGATATTGGTTGGTGACAGCTGGCCTCTTTGACAGGTGATTAAAGAAAAAACACGGGGTATCTTTTTAGTCAGGTCCCACCGCACCGATCACTGACTTATTGTTTTCACAGGCCCAGCCGCAAAATATCTGCCTCAGGACATGCTGTAAATATCCCACTAAGTTTTTTTTAGTCTTGTCTAAATTTAAAAATTCTCCATTTCTCTTCTTTCCAAAATCTTTTGACCAAAGAAAACGGAAAAAAGAAAAAACACGCTTCTTAAGTTATATAAACTTACAAGTCACATTAACCAACATTTTGCCATGACTTGAATCTTTAAATCATTCTTCTGCATCTGCAGGCCAAAGAGGTAGGATAAGCTTGACTACCCAATTATTGGCACAAGCAGGGGCCACGGAATATACTTCTAGCTGGAATTTGGCTGATTCGCCTTGCGTTCTTCTCGTGTTTGAAGGATAGATGGTAGAGGTGCTGTAATCTTGATAAGCTGCAAGATGAACAACTACTGTCAATAAGTTTACTTTGAATTGAAATGCATAGCAACGTACCCTTGTTTAAAACAATAATTAAATATTTACACATGATCCGCTTTTTATAGACCCCAAACAAGATCCATAGAATAAAGGTAATTCAACTATTGTTTGCAAAAGAGGATACTGAAGTTGGTCACTTTCGATGCTACAATTCCTATTACCATCGAAGGAGTAAATCACCAAACGACTATGCCCTTATACTTCCACCCTCACCTTACCAATTGTTTAAATGGAAAAGGGCCAAATTGCCCCTTTGCTATTGGAAATAGCTCAATTATACCAGTTTGATTGTAGTCCCAAAATTACCCTCGCCGTTAGTCAAATGGCTCGTTTATGCCCCTAAAAACTGACGGAGCTCTAGGTGTGATTTTAATCCCACTAAAATAATATTTTCTTGCTGACATGGATTTCCAAAATCCATGGGAGGGGTATTTTATTCCAGCATAAGGCCACATGGAAAGGAAATTAAAATATTTAGAAAGTCTTCCTCAGTTGGTTTCCCCTCCATGGCTGTCGAAACTTAAAAGAAGCACGTATACACAAAAAGTTGAAATCTTCATGCAGAATGTCATTACATATATATAAATGAAAACCAAATAAGCAATTGAGAATAGCATTAAACTAATAATGGTTCAATTATCTTAGCAGGGTAGTCAGAAACAGCCAATTCTTGGTCCAGCACCAGCTCCACCATCGCTGGTGTTGCAGCCGGTGCTGTAGTGCCGGTTGTTCATCAGAGCATTTGAACCAAATGTTTCAACTCCCGCTAAAGCTTTTTGTTCAGGATTTGGGAGTTCTTCGACTTCGTTACTTTCTTCCTTAAGCGAATAAGATTCAGTAACAACAATTCCTTCCATATCAATTTCAATCTTCCTGTTTCCTTTGTCTCCGGAGCAGAAGATTTCTCCCGGAGTCCCGGGAAAGATATCGGTTCAGGTTGGGGGGTGGTTTCCTTCTCCAGCACGAGGACATCAGAGACGACAATCTTTTGGGTCAGAAGCTAGTTTATCGGCTATGTTGAGATATATACTATTAATCATATGTTTAGATATATGATTTATTCAATTTTAATAAAGATTTAAATAGATCATATATTCGTCTGTTTGTCCATTTACTTGTATAGTACTCCCTCCGTTTCAATTTGTGTGTCTTACTTTTCTTTTAGTTTGTTTAAAAAAGAATGCCTCTTTCTATATTTAGTATCTCCTTAACTCCAACTTTCCACATGGCAAATTTAAGACCACAAAATTTAAGGGTATTTTGGTACATTACACACATCTTTAGTGTAAACACAAGATTTAAAAGACTTTCTTACTTTCTTAAACCCCGTGCGAAGTCAAACTAACACATAAATTGAGACAGAGGGAGTAAATGATTTAGTGTATATAGTTTTAGCTTACGGAGAAGGATCAAATATATCCCTGTACTATGAGAAAAAGTTTAAATATACCTCTCGTTATACTTTGTGTCCAAATATACCCCTTCTGTTATACTATTGGTTCAAATATACCCTTCTTCTGTTAAGTTTGTCCAATGTAGATATCCAATCCTACATGGCACTGACATACACCACAGTGCCCCTAACTCATTTTACCCTCCACCCTTCTATTTTTTTCGCCACTAAAATTACTTAAGTTTTGAAGCACCTAAATGGAAAAGAAGTAATTTCTTTCCATTGTAGAAAACATCAAAAGATGAGCATTGGCACCAGTGACAATGATGGGCTTATCACAAGATTTGCCCTCAGCTTTGCGTTTGTTTTGCCTTTTTTTCTTGAAAGCCAGGCCTGCTAACATTATGGCCTCCGATGAACTAACTGTTCCCACTCCAATTGCTGTCTCCTCTTCCAATGGCACGCTGAATAAACGTGCTATCATGTTCACGCACCGATTCTGCAATTTTATTTAAGTGTCGAGCTTTTTAATAATAATACAAAATAATTAGTGTCCTAATAAAATAATTCACTGATTATTAGTCAGTAGTGTTTTTTTACCTAGTTTACATAGTCTTATTCCAAAACAGCAACCTTCTGTCTTGAACACCATAATGAAGCCAAGTAAAATGAAACATGAAAAGTAGTGTTTGTTTTTGTATACGATTTTTCTGGGCATGGGCTTGACATTGATTGCCATTAAAACCCCATGCCCTTAGCTCTCCTCACTAAGTTCCTAAGCTAATCAAGATTGGATATTTAACACTTTCTGCTTTGGAAATAACTTCCGCACACTTTGATGATGTTACTTGATTTCTTTTATCTTCTAGCAAAGCAGATATAACTATGTTCATCAAAATTTTGATTGAATAAAAAGGATTACCTGCAGTTACGGTGGCAATGATGGTGGAGGGGAAAAAATTTTAGTGGTGGAAAAACACATAAAGCTGGGGTAAAATAGGTTAGGGGCGCTGAGGTGGATGCCTCATATGTCAGTGCCAATAGTATATTTGATGTCCACCTTGGATAAACTTAACGGAAGATGGGTATATTTGAACCAATAGTATAACGACAGGGGTATATTTGGACTCAAAGTATAACGAGGGGTATATTTGGACATTTTCTCATAGTACAATGCTATATTTGGATCTTTTCCGTTTAGCTTATACACAGAAGATTAAATTATCGGTTCTTATAAGAATAAAGTTTGAGTTCACAATCTAATGATGAAATTGGACAAATCATCAGAATAATTAATAGTTTAATTACGATTTCTTGTGCTAGTACATTTATACGTATTGAACGGACCAAGTAGAGATGAGTATTTTATATTGATTTGATAAAATAATCCTCTAGTCCATTAAATATACTTATACTCTAAATCTTGATATAATTATTATCACTTGTGTATATTATTTATTATTTTAATTTATTAAAAGGCGAGATTCTTTTGTGAGTCAATATGCCTGATAAATTGGCCAATAATGATATATATTAGCGATGTAATGATTAGTTGAAGGAATTCATGTCTCCATATTGAGATTGATGATACACCTTTACTGGGCGATGAATTTTGTATTCGATACATAAAATAAGTTAAGTGAAAGTTTAAAGGAAATAAGTAATAAATTAAATTGTCATTGATTAATATCTGAATCTTAACATGAGGAGTTAAATAAATTTAATGGAAGAATTTTAAAATTGAACTGAGGAGTGCAATTACGAATTTTTAGTGGAATAATTCGTGATTTATTATGATAGAATTAATTCAAATATTTCAAATTAATTCCATAATAGGAAGCATCATTAATTAAATTATGTGCTCCATGTTGTGCCTGAATATTAGGAAATAAAAGAAATTCCAATAGGTTTTGGAGAAAGGCTTTAAACCCTTAAAATGTGTGTTATAAATGCATGAGTTTTTCCATCTAGAGGTAGGCGTTTTCTCTAGCCGTATTTGGGACATGTTTTCCGAGAGAAATTCGTTCACTCGAATTTTGCTATTTTTGGGTATTATCTAGGTAACACGGGTGAAGACGGTGGAACTGTTGGATCATGATCTTGCTGGTCAGGAGTAAACTTGGTGGTGTTTTCGCTGGCCATCCGCGAAACTGGAGTGCTACTTGATCGACGAGTTGTGCTCATGCTTCAAGAGGTAACCCGTATAACTTTGTATATGCTAGTTGTCTAAATTACATGTGATTTTGATACTAGTATTGCTTCTGCTTCATATAATAACCCATCAGGCCCTATGTGATGAATCTCAAAATCATATGAAAGACAAAAAGAGGGATATGTTTTTATTTTTCTGAAATATTTTGATTTCCTTTCCATGTAGTTGTAGACTTTTGCTGAAACAAAATATATGCGCCTAATTGATTTTGGAAACGGTAGATTTTGAGAAGAAAAGGCTTTTTGTATTTCTGTGTGTTTTTTACATCCCTAAGCAAAGGTATTTATACACTAGGTCCTATGACTATTTTAGGAAGGGAAATAAATCACAATCAATTTACAATCAATCAGAATAAAATCAAATCTCAATCAGAATCAAATCTTTCCTAATAATTAAACCAATCAACACTCCCCCTCAGGTTGGTGCAAAGATGACGCACATGCCCAACTTGCAAACCAGTATATGAAAAGTATGTTTGTGAAGACCTTTGATAAACACATCAACTAGTTGCTTTTCTGATGACACATGAAACAAGTTCAAGGCACCAATTGTAACTTTTTCTTTGATGAAGTGTCGACCAATTTCAACATGCTTTATTCGGTCATGTTGGACTGGATTATAAGCTATGCTGATTGCAGCCTTGTTGTCACAATATAAGGAGCGTTTCCGCTTTTCAGAGATTCTCAATTCCTCTAGTAATTTTAGTAACCATAGTTCCCAGACACCCTAGGCCATGGCTCTATATTCTGTTTCCGTACTTGATCTAGCAACTACACTTTGCTTCTTGCTTCTCCAAGTAACCAAATTCCCTCCTACGAGTGTACAGTAACCGGATATAGATCTTCTATCATCTAAAGATCCAGCCCAATACGCATCTGTATAGGCCTCCACATGAAGGTGACCATGTTTGGAGAAAAACAGACCTTTGCCTGGAGCAGATTTCAGATACCGCAAGATGTGAAAGCCAGCTTGCATATGAAGATCTCGGGGATAATGCATGAACTGACTCACCAAGCTGACTGAATAAGCTATGTCAGGTCTAGTATGAGAGAGATAAATGAGTCTTTCAACCAACCTCTGATACCTCCCCTTATCAACTGGCTCTCCAACTACTGTTTGTAACTTGTGATTACTTTGCGATTCTGCTGATTTGCAACCTGTCATACTGGTTTCTTTCAAAAGATCCAAAATATACTTTCTTTGAAAAATAAAGATTCCTCTTTTTGATTTAGCAACCTCAATTCCCAAGAAGTACTGCAATTTTCCTAGATCCTTGATCTCAAATTCCTGTGCCAATAGCTTCTTCAATCGGGTCATCTCCTATTTGTCATCTCATGTTATTACTATGTCATTAACATAAACTATGAGAATAGTGAGTTTATCCTTTTGATGTCTTATGGAGAGTATGATCAACATTGCTTTGTTGGTAGCCGAAGGAGATCATTGCTTTGCAAAATCTGTCAAACCAAGCTCTAGGGGATTGCTTCAGTCTGCACAACTTTCTTTGACTTTGTTCAGTATCAAATCCAGAAGGAATCTCCATATACACCTCTTTTTCTAAGTCTCCATGAAGAAATGCATTTTTTACATCAAACTGTTGTAAGTCCCAATCAAGATTAGCTACACAAGATAAAAGAATTCTGATAGTGTTTATTTTTGCAACAAGGGGCAAATGTCTTTTGATAATCCACTCTATAAGTCTGAATGAATCCCTTAGCCACCAATCTTGTTTTGAATATTTCAATCGAGCCATCAGCTTTGTTCTTCACAGTGAAGACCCATTTGCAGCCAACCAACTTTTTGTCTGGTGGTGAAGTGACAAGTTCCCAAGTCTCATTTTTTGATAAGGCCTTCATTTCTTCAATCATAGCTTGCTTCCATTTAGGATCTGCAAAAGCTTCCCTCCAATTCTAAGAAATAGACAAGGCAAAGGCTCTATAGGAGGGAGACAAAGAATTATAGGAGACAAAATTAGATAAAGAATGTTTAGTGGTACAAGATCTGACTCTTTTTTTGTAAGCAATAGGCACATCTAACTCATTAGGAAATGTAGATAACTCACTAGTAGAAGAAGGTTCAGCTTCGGTAGATTTCATGATGGCTTCGTCTACTCTATTTCTCCTTGATTAAGTTTTCAAATCAAGCCTATCCAAACGCCCAATAGTCTCTCCCTGAATTCTTTCTCCAATTTTACTTTCCCCTGTGACAATATCATCAAGATGTCCAGTAATGGTACTAGGTAGAATCACACTACCTCTTCCTCCTTACTGCTCTCCCACTGAAGAGATGATGAGGTAATACTGAAATAGGGTTCAGATTCTTGAAAGGTAACATCCATGCTAATAAAAGATCTCCTACAGGGAGGATGATAACATTTGTAACCTTTCTGTGTCGGAGAATATCCAATGAAAACACACTTTATAACTCTAGGATCAAGTTTCCCAGAATTCCTAGTGTGGACAAAGCAAACAAACCCAAACACCTTTGGAGGAACAATATATTCATTCTTACCCTTTAAAGCTTCCAGGGGACTATGAAAATTGAGGGTTTTAGGTGGCATTCTGTTGATAAGATAGGCATCCACTAGAATAGCATCCCCCAGTAAGGTTTTGGTAGATACATGGTGATCATAAGAGATCTTACTACTTCTAACAAATGCCTATTTTTTCTTTCAGCGACCATGTTTCATGCACTAGTGTAAGGACAACTAGTATGATGGACTATCCCATTGGACTCCAAATAAGCACCAAATCTTTTATCCATGTATTCGCTGCCATTGTCAATTATCAAAAATTTTATTTTGGCATCAAACTAAGTACAAATCATCTTATGAAATGACTGAAAACGAGAGAAAACTTCACTTTTGGCTTTTAACAAATATACGCAAGTCATCCTAGTGCAACAATCAATGAAAGTAACAAATCATCGACCACCAGACAAAGAAACAGTTGGGGTAGGACCACATACATCAGAATGAATAGTCATAAAAGGAGTTGTGCTTCTATTATCACTCACAGGATAAGAGTTTCTAGTATGCTTGGCACATTCACACGCATCACAGAACAAAGATTTAAATTGAGTCCTTGAAAACAAATCAGGATATAACTTCTTCAAAACAGAGAATGATGGGTGTCCTAACCGTCTATGCCGCTATATTATTTCGTGGTTGACATCCTTACTTCCCCAAAAAGGCTTGACTAGAGTTTTGAATTCCATCTAATATATACAAATCATCACGCAATCTACACTGCCAATCATTTCCCCTGTTTGAAGATCCTGAAAAATAC